ATATGATCGATAATAACTCATCGAATATGATTATAAATGAAAAAGGATTATAAGAAACTAGCGTAAAATAATCCTGAATACATTCGACGTAATACGATAACAAAGATGATTACGTAATGTTCCCCGATTGGTTGCTGCAGAGAGATGCGCACTTTCGAGAATCACATTTTCGAGAGATCACAAGAATGATTGTGAATAATTAATCGAAAATATCGATATATAAAACACAGGTAAGAATCGTTAAAGGAGTTAGGAACACGAGGATTCGAGTATGGTTGTTGGATGGTAGCGCGAACACGCGGCTCGTGATTCGCACGTGTTCTTGACAACGAAAAGGGGTGCCGTCGCGTTACGGAATAATTATCGATATATTATACTAAATTATTGCTACGAGACACAATATAATACTCTAATTCAATAAAACAATAATAATAATAAAACTAAACACACACACACAATATATAGATTAAACAAAAACGAGGAACAAGAAACGAAATTATAGATATGAAAGATAAAGTATTTACCAAGAGATATAAATATATACAAAAGATGCAATTTAAAATAAATGAATGAAAAAGAAGAGAAAAACAAAAATAAAAAACACACACACACACACCTGTCCTACGGAAGGGGCCTGCAGGTAAGTCGAGACATCCGGTTCCACCATGCAGCTCCTCAGGGTATCCGGGATGAACATGAGTAGGTGGGAGGACGGTGGCGGTCCAGGTTGAAGCCGGCTGACAGCAGCTTCTGGTTGAATGAGGAAGTCAGCTAGGATTGAAGATGGTTCAATCTGCTGACGACGCTCGTAATTTTCGGCGAGTAGCGTCGTGGCCGTCGCGACGCCGCGGCCAAAGCCGCAAAGCGCGCGTGGATCGCGGAACTGACAGAAAAAAGAAAGAAAAAACCGGGCTACGCGATTAATACGACAACGACGATTGGAACGGGAACGGAAACGGTAACGTTAACGTTAACGGTAGTAACGTCCGATAAACGATACAAATTTGATACACTGACGAGATTGAATTTGTTGAAAAATGATGATGTCCTATTTAAATTGATCAAAAATAATACAAGAAGGATAACACCGAGTTGAGCGTTAACGATTTCACCACGACAAAGTCTCCTTCTCGTTGTTGTCTTCTTCGTCTTCTTCTTTTCCTCCACCACCACGACGACGATGACGACGACCACGACGACGACGACCACCACCACCACCACCACCTCCTTCTCCTCCTCCTTCTCGCCGTCAACGATGACAACGAAGACGAGTATGCTGTCTCTCAAAACGATCAAATCCGACAGTGTTGGTAATATCCCGGTGAACGACGCACCGTTCTCTTCCCTGTTATTATTGTTACCACGCTTATGTTTATTCTTCTCGTCAAACTTTTCGGTCTTCCCCTGATAATAATAAACGTTGGTGGTAGTAGTAATAGTAATAATAGTAATAGTAGTTTGGTGTAAGGTGATGCTGCGTTCCTCCTCCTTGTTATCGTCCTCGTCGTTGGTGAACCTTTGGTTGTCGGGTGGTGGTGGGACACCGCACCCAGGCACACGCATCCTATCTAACGCGAGCCACAACTCCTAACTCTCGACTTAGGCCCTCTCTCTGTTTTCTCGTGCCGCACGCAAGACTCTCTCTCTTTCTCTCTCTTCGTTTGTCTATCTATCTCTACCTATGCACCTGTCTCTGTCTTTCTTTCTCTATTTCTCCCACCCCACCCCTCTCCTCACACTCTCTCTCTCTCTCTCCCACTACCCTTCTCCTCCAATGAGTAACCCTTACGTGTGCGAATCTCTGTCTCTGCTTCCCTCTCTTACTCCCTCCCTAGCCCTTTCTCTATCTGTTTATCTCTCTCTGTTTCTCTCTTTCTCTCTCTCTCTCTCTCTCTCTCTTTCTTTCTCTATCTATGGTCGTGCTTTCGAGTAGTAAGCTCTGCCTCGACGACGGTGACGACTCTTGTTCTCTTCTTCCTCTCGGCTCCTTCTCGTTTCCCGTTCCCGATCGGGAGACGCCAGGTCCCAGACTACGCCGACTCCGAGCTACGGCCGCTGCGTCGGCGTCGGCGTAAAAAGCACGCGCAAGCTCGACGCCGACGCCGACGCCGACGCCGCCACCACCTCCACTTCTATCACCAACACAACTATAATCATCGTCATCAAAGTTGTGTCGATGAAAGAAAAAGAAAGAAAGTCGAGATTGTCCGAGGGATCAAGAAGATGAACAATTTTTTTTTACTTACATGTATATATTTATGCATGGATATGTTTGTATGTATATATGCAAGAGAGAGAGAGAAAGATTGAAAGATGCAAAAGAGACAAATGTATCTAAGTGTGTATGTAAGAAAAAGAAAGAGGGATGAAAATGAGAAAGATACGTAGATGAGATGTGTAATGTATAATGTGTATGTGTGCTTTGTGTATGTATACGTTAAAGAGAAAGAGGGAAAAGAATGAACAAGAGAAAGATATATATATATATGAGTAGGAATATGTGTGTGTAAGAGAGAGAAGGAATGAGGGATGCAAAAGAGAAAGATACATTCAATGTATATGTGCTTGTGTAACAGAGTGAGAGAGAAAGAGAGAGGGATGAAGAGAAAATACGTAGATATACGTAAGAGAAAGAAAGAAAAAAGAACACGATATTGGTCAAAAGAAAAGCTTCTATACGCGTTAATCACTAGGAAGAATTATTTTCTCTCCCTTTATCTCTCTCGGGGTATGTGTTGTTCGTTCACCGAGATACCAACGAACACGACGACTCTTTCTTCACCGTTCTTCTTCGTTCCTTCGTGTATTTTTGGGGACTTGCGTGAAGAATTAGACTCGACTCGACTTCGAAACCACGAACACTCGCTTTTAAAACGAACACCACCAGCAACAACCAAGAAAAGACCAACACAACATCAGCAATTTCGATTTCATTTCGAAAATGTCTTCTTTTATATATTTTTTTTTCCTATTTTGTTTTACATACCTATAATTTGAAATCGTACGAATCAAATTCTTAACTTTGATTGGTGGAATTCTATTCTATGCAAATTAACGTGAACGAAATTTTAAAGAAAAATTATGTATATACGTATATATATTGCGTCTGTTGTTATATAAATAATTATTGTTAATGTAAATTGTGTGTGTGTATGTTTGAAAAATGTTGAGAAACGATCAATGATAGTTTTTAATGCAAAATTCTTGATATTAATCGATAATCGCGTTCACAAATCTGATAATGACTCTATCTTGTTTTTTTTTAATCATTTCTTCGATGTTTATTTCGTACGTATATATTTAATAACAATAATAATAATTAGTGGAATAAATTTGTCTTCGTAAAAATGATAGTACGAGGTATTTTTTTTTGTGCTTTTATCAAATACTTGTAAAATTTCTTGTAAATTCTTCTTCGAGTAACCAAACGAAGTTTAATCTTTGACGGTCTCTACCGTTATCCACTTACCCTTCTTACGAATTCAAATATGTCCACTGCTAGACGCGCGCTCCATTATAAACTACCTTTTCGCGTATGCGAGACATTCTACTGTAAGTCTTTAGAAAATACGCGAGATTGACAAGAGTATACTAAGCTTTCTCGCGTTGCAAATATCCGTACGTGTCATGCACGTGTATTTGTCCTTGTACGTGTCGACTGTCACAACGTCACGTTTGTTTCAAAGAATGAGAATAAGAGAGAAAGAAAAGGCGCGAAACGTTTCGAATTATCTTCGGGAGAGTTCGTGTTCGAAAAACTCGCGAATCGACACTGACCGAAGTAAATGCCTGATTGATCATGAGAACCTCTTCTATCTACACCCTTCCACCCATATGGAAATAGGAATCACCTCGAACGTGATGGATTCCACCGTTCGAAAAAGATACCTTTGTATAAACTGTTGCCTTCGTTAAGGCGTTTCGAAACTCACGAACTTTTTACAAATGATCGATAGAAATATTATTATCGATTCACATCGTTTATTCTTATTTACATTAGTCGTTGAATTATTATTAATTATAATAATTAAAAATAAAATTAATACAAATTATATAAAAATAAAGTATTAAGATTATAATTCTTCTAGTTATAAGAAGAACTCGTGCGTAAAAAGTATATAACTTGTTGTTATAATAAAAATTAAATAAAAATTTTCATCATTATCTTTTAGTTTCTTCTATTTTTTCTTTTTGTTAAAAATATTATCCCCATCTTTTAAATATCCACTCTGTGGATCAACGCGTAATAAATTCTATGTGTCTAACAATTAAATAATATACATATTAGATTCATTGATAAAATAATGTGCCTAGTAATATGACTTTTTTAATTTTAAACTCAATGACGTAAAAAAAATTATTTGCATACCTTAAAAGTACAAAATTTAGAAATAAAAACGAAAGTGGTAGAAATAGCAATGACAATGGCGGGAAAAAATGAAATATAGAGAAAATACATTGGATTAATTGTGTTATAAGTGGATAATAAATATCCCTTATTACGTTAAATCTTATTCACGCGATATTCAAATGAAATAGTTAATTTTTTTTTGTCGTCATTGTTAATTACAATAAATACAATTAACGATTTTTGTTAACACTAGTATTTATCGTTTGTATGAAAGTGTGTAAGTGTATGTATGTGAGTGTATTTGTGTTATTAGAATAATTATAATTATACAGTCCCTTCCTTCTGTTATACTAAATAATGTTTGGCAGTTCATTGACGCTTAGTTAGAATATAATTATCGGTGGACGTTAATTTTCTTTATTGATATTTAAGTATGCTAACGTATCAACACACGTAGTCTTTTTTTATTCAAGATCGTGCGTCAGAGGAACCCGCTCGGTAAATATTATATCTTTCCATTATTTAGTGCAATTTTTCAATCTAACTATGTCATAATTCATAATAGCTTCTTCCTCGTCTTTAAACGACGATGACGACAAATACGATACTTAACGGTATAAAATTACAAGTAGTGTACAGAAAGTTGTTGTTTTTTTTTTTTTTTTTTATATTAATTAACTAACACGATAATCTATGTTCAATAATTCTTCTGATAGTAGAAGAAGTTTGGAAGAATGTTTTTTTTTTTTTTTTTAAATGTTAAATCGATGTTTCTATAATCTAGGAATAATTATCTATTTAAATGTATTATTGTAAAAAATATACAATGCAGGCAGACGATGTAACATTCATTGATTCTGAGATTAAACCAGTCTAGAAATCTTCTTTGCAGCTTTCTCTATCGCTTCTTCCAAGAAGCATTTTCGAGTTCTTTCTTTTTATTTCATATACATTGATCTATTTTTTTTTTTTTCTTTTTTCCCTTACTCAAAATCCTTTCTTAATTTCCTTCGTTACAATAAATAACCGATCAAAAGTCTTTGATACTTACGCTCAATCTTATTATGTCAGAATTATCATTTAGATTTCCAAATATAAATTTGGATTCGATGGAATTTAGTTGAATGAAATTGAATCGAAGGTTAAGATACTTTAGTTGGATGAGGGACCATCTTGAGTAAATTATTATAACATTCATCAATCTTTTTCTAATGTTGGTTATCGGAGATAATTTTTTTACTGCATCCTCTTTTCACTGCCTTTCGTTTATAGACACTTATCCATAACAATCTGCACTTTATGGATTAGAACTAAAAATAAAATTACATTAAAAATAATTGAATAACATATATTAAACAATTATCGTGCAATAATGTAGAGATAATATATTTATACCAACCCTCTTCAAAAATTCTTCCGCACAAATACGAGCTCTGGCGTTCATAGAAAGTTTCATTTCACTGATTTCTCTATCAATTTCCTCCATAAAATGAATCACAAAGTCTACTATCTTATGTTTATACATTTGTTCTACATGAATGTTTGTGATAAGAAAACTAATGTCATAACCCTGTTTAAGAAATAAACAGCAAAATTATTTTTTCAATAAAATCTAATCAATTGATAATGAATTAGGTTGTTCGATAAATCTACACAGTTTTTTCCATCACATTTATTTAGAAAAAAATTGTCCCAACTTGTTGTGGACAAGCTAATATAATTTTAAATATATTTACCTCTATAGGTTTTCTCCTAAGTATCATAAAATGTTCCGCTCTCATGGTCATGAATCTTGTGAAGTTATGACAGAGAATCTTTTCCAGATCATCTGCCTGTTTAACAGCGATACTTATTCTCATACTATTTATACTTGATTCTATTAATACTTTCTCCTTATCGTTTCTGCTGATCAATATAGGCGTTAACAAAAGTTCTTTGCTTGCTCTTACTTCTACTTCGGGTTTATTGTGCTTCTCTACTATTTGGGAAGAAAAGTTTTCAAGACACATTGCAGCTGTGAGAGTACGTCTCACCGCCATAAGATAAGGTTTCAATGTTCCAGACTGTAATGTAAAGAAACAAATATACTTAAAAAAAGAACTTAATAAAATTTAACTTAAACATTTATTCAACAATTGCAGTTCCGTTTACTTTATAATGTTTATCATATTTTTTCTTATAATTATTTCATGTAATATAATGACAATATATAGTAGAATAAAGTCATCATAAATAAGAGATACTGAAGGAACTACATACATCCTGTCTTATTGATAAGGTATATTCTTTTCAGATATACTGCAACATATTTTTTTATCGTTAAAATTTATCAAAAATATCTTACCATTATTACAAAAGGATAACAAACTTTGAATCCTTCTTCTTCCTTATATCCTTATGATTTTTTTCAACTATCTCCTCCTTTTACCAAAAATATATGTTAACACGTGAAAAATGACACATTACGTTCCTTACATATCACAGGGTTGGGTTCAGCCGGTTTGATTCTTACAATTTAGGAGTATTTTCATTGGACATATCGTGCTACTTAAGAAGTCTTTTCCTATTGGTCAGTTTATTTTTGATTGGACAATTCTATCTAAATCGATACACATTTATCGAATTTATTACATTTTTACAGTGTAAATTTATTTATAATAAAATATATATATATATACTCATAGTTTAATTTATTATTATTTAATAAATGAGGGCTTTTATATTTACGAAAATAAATTAAATATAATTTTCATGTAATTGCGAACAGAACGGAGCTATATACAAGGAGGATGATCGAGATAGACGTTTGCGTCAAATTTGTGTTGTTGAAAATGACTGAATATCSAGTACGATAATTATCCACGAGGGTGGCGGTGATGTTCTTAAATTTAGATTTAAGTACGTGTGATTTTATAAATAAACAAATGAATTAATAAGTCTCTTTGATAGTTTTGTTTTAATTACTATTTTTAAAAACCAGACTAAGTTACTAGACGCGCGCTCTAGTGGCAATAGAAATCATTATTTCATTATGAATATTGTACCCACATTTATAACACGGCGATCGTCTCCCTTGTGTATAGACTCCATGGCGAACAATATGGTTGATATCATTAGAGCGCCATATTTGAAATCGAACCTATACGAGACATTTGATTACTCATAAAATAAAAAACCGCTAAAATTCAATGAGTAAATTAGGTCATGTATTAAAAAAATTGGTTCTTACAATTAGAAATACAAAATTCGTGTATCAAATGCTAATGATATAAATATGGCACATAATAAGAGATAAAAAACAGTGTATAAATAATTATAAACATAGTAATATAAGTATAGATACTCCTAATACATTAATAAATATAACAAATATCAAAAGACACAATCTTATTTGAATTGGTATCATCGTTGATTAATATTTTGAGTATTATATATAGATATTAATTAATATGATTGCAATATTGTACTAATGCTATTATTATTGCATATAAAATGAGTTTAACATGTTGACTGTTGTGTAGGTCATCGGTGATCTCAACACAATCATTAGTAAAAATACATAATTAGAATAAATATCGATTCTGATAAATTTTTAAATAATACCATTGTTTTTATAATGATTTCTGTGCAGAAATCTATGACATACATTGTATGTAAGAATAATTTTTTTTTTTACAAAGAAAATATACATTTTTTTTGGGTACGCTTCGATGAGTTACAATTAGACACGGTAGACAAAGAAAATATGAACAAAAACAGTCAGCACTTCTCGATTCTTTTTTTAATTCGTGATTACGTCTTTTCTGTACGCAATTGCTTGATAAAATGCAATCTTTAACATCAGAACATTGTACTAAATACTTTGCTAACTTCAACCTAAAATTAGGAATTGAAATATTTTTCCGAGTTACTTGTCTCTATAACATAATTAAATTTATAACGTAAGTACTTGTTAAAAACTATTCATTTTCAGATTCTTGCAAACAGAGATAAGATTTCAAAGAAAATATAAAATAGAAAAATTTTAAGAAAATACTAAACAATCCGTTGGAGGTTCTTTGAATGGGTTTGTGACTAGTATAAACTATGAGTAAATGTAATATATTTTTTTGTAGAACTCGATATCTCATTGGTCTTTGTATAGATCTTCTGCAAATCAATCGTCATGGTCAGAAATTATTCATTGCTATAAATTCCTCAATCTTTTCCATATTTAGGAGCAAATAATAATAAAATGGCCTACAGTGCCTCGATGGTTACCGGTGACTTCACCATAAAAAATAAACAAAACACAATTATACAACGCTGTTAATCAGTTGTAAAAGAGAATTAAACAAAATATGCATCCCACAATCAAAAATTTGTGTAAGCATGGTAGAAAAATCATGTGAAAAGCGTGTGGCAGTGAACATGTTAAAGAAATAGATTGTACTCCGCTGTACACTATTTCATGTATAATAGCAATAAGTATGATTATGCTTACTACGAGTCTATCTTTTGATAATATACTTGTATACAAATCTCACTACCTGACGATTGAAGACCTATAGTATTCAATATCACTACACTGTTAAATGAACCAATTATACTTTTTGGAGTGGTTTTTGACAATCGTTAATTGGTTTTTCAGGTGGTTTCTCGATTACTAATTTTAGCGCCCGCTTTCTTGTAATGCCGACAATACAAAAAGTTGTAATAACTGTAACTAACATGTACCATGAGAAGTCCAAAAAGACTCTAACAGGTAAAAGTGATTCCACCTGATACATACGAAGGATCCATCCACCGTGTAAAAGAGTCGTATAAGCTCTTAAAAGTTTCATTTCTGGCCATATAAGTTCTAAAGTAACAGCAAGAGATGTTGTCCAACAGATACCTGCTAAAATTATGTTAACAACTAAAATTTCATCAACGCCTACCAAAACAAAAAGAAATCCTTCAATGAAAAAGATTTGCGCCAAACCCATTTTGACTAAACCATCGCTTATGTGACGAGGACGAAAAAAATTGACAACGTCGACTACAACAGAGTAAACAAGGAACAACAATATGATGTTAACTTTATGAATGACTACTTCATTATCCTCCGAACAACGGCTTAAATTAATGAGACCACCTATTATTGCTATTATAAACTTAAGACAAGCTTCGAACAGTTGACTGGTAAATATTATTTCACATTTCTTCCAAAATCTAGTACCCTTTGTCATGGACTCGTCCTCTTTTGGTCTCAATGAAATGCAAAACTTGGCATATTCACAGCACCATTTTAATCCAAATCCATAAAGAGTACAAATGGTTAGAACACAAGGCAAAAAACTTTCCATCGGATACATATTAAAGCTCGTTTGCAGCACACTGATTTAAATATTCGTTGTTTCTGGAATGTAAATAGATATTAATATCAGTCTATACACTTTAATTATTAAATGTTTTCTTTATTACCGTGATGCACAATAATTTTGTCCTATAATTCAATTTTGCGTTTTCTTTAAATCATGAAAAGCAAAACTTTTAGTTCCACTTAAACGTTATTTTTAATTATAATAAACGTAAGAGAAGTGTTTCGATAAAAGAATGATAACTTAGTAACACAACGTGTCTTACAAGGCGATGTGCAACAGGACAAGGCCAATGCCACAATGATCAACACTGCAGAAAAGTTGGCATAGAACCTGAACAGCAGAAAAAATGAATAAGTACTCTTAATTTCTCATTATTGCACATTTAAAATCTATAATTGCACACTTCATTAATTAATTATTTAATTAGTTATTAATAATAAAAAAACAAAAACGTTTTTTCTCACTTCTAAGCAAAGCAATTAAGTTTTCTATTGTTTTTTGTTTTCAATCAATTGCTGGAATTTTGGTTTGTCCGGCTCCTCAACTTTATTTTATCAAATATTTTATATTTATCGTTAATTAGTTAAAAATATTTATTACACTTTGAAAAATAATGAAATGGCCACGTCATGAGTGGGAGATATGTTATATGGTTGTTATACGCATGCACAATCACAAATTCAAGGAGCAAACGTCCTTTGAAAAAAATGAAACTAAAGTTGGTATACCTGCAGGGATATATTTAAGATTGATTTTCAAAATAACAACCTATAGGGTAATTAAAACAAATAGATTAATCGTTCATAATGTATAAATAATAAATAAATATTTTCATTTTTTCATTTTTTTCTGCTGTTACGGTTCTATGCCAACTTTTTTGTGCAGAAGTACATAGAAACCAACTAGACTTTTATCTTACCCTTTTTTATCTACCCAGCATCATTTTTGTTACCACCGGGACCTATTAGACAAAAGTATGTACTTAACGCGGTGACGGTACAATACTATCAAAGAAAACAATATTCTTTGATAGTATATATAGTATATATAATAGTTAAAAAAAAATTGTAATAGATTTTAAAATAATTATATTAAATTTTTAGTGTATAAATATGTGTGTGCCTTCAGAAATGCATTTATATAAATA